CCTCAAGTATAGGGTTTGAAGTCACAATGTGTCCATATCCACTTTAGTACCTAGGAAGCACTGGAGGAGGCTGTCGGAGATTAGCAAAGGGAGTCCAGAAATCCAGAGTCCTGTTACCTGCCGGGGACTTCATGCTACTAAATTCCTGTGAAACCCTGGAAGATGGTGTCCTGAATAATACAATGTGTCAACTTGACTCTGCATTGGATATTTAGCTTTATTTTTCTAGGTGCTCCAAAGAGGGATATTTTTTGGCTGAGACGGTAAAGCGTCTGCCCGCGATGTGGGAGACCAGGGTTTGATCTCTGGGTCAGGAAGATCATCTGGAGAAGGAAATGGCAACCCACTCCAGTACTCTTGCCTAGAAAATTCCATGGATGGAGGAGCCTGGTGGGCTACAGTCCATGAGTTACAAAGAGTTGGACACAACTCAGCGACTTCACTTTCAACATGTGACTAGGTATATTTTAATAATAGATTAGATTAACACTTTAATTCATAAAGCAGATGATCCTCCATACCGTAGGTGGTCTTCAGGAAACCAGGTGAAGAGATGAACATACGAAATCACTATTCTTCCCGCAAGTAAGAGATAATTGTCAGCCAATGGCCATCACACTGGGCCATTAGTTTTGCTTTTCAACGTAAACATCAGCTTCTCCTAGGTCTCTATAAGCACAAGACCAGCTTGCAGCTTTTGGACTTACCAGCCTTAACAACTATGTGAGTCAGTTGCTTTAAATCATGTACCTGTGTATATGTGTGTATGTGTGTGTTTATGTGTACTATTTATTCTATGTGGGGTACAGTTTTATGGGGGTAAAGATCACAAGTAATGAGGACAGGCTTGAATCAAATTCCTTGCTCTGAAAATAATGACATAGAAGATGTGGACAAGTCACTTCCACTCAGATATGTAAACAGGTAAAATAATACTCACCTAGGATGATCTTTGGAAGCATTTAAAAAAAGCAGAGGAAGAATATCTGGGAGAGTCTATCGGATCTATCTAGGCCGGGAAGGCAGGCAGTCAACCTCACTGCCACTTCCTGAGCTGGGGTAGGAGAGTTTTTGTGCCAGAGGCACATGATCACGCAGGGCTGTGTCTGGGCTGCTGGCACAGAGATACACGGCTGAGTCCGTCAGCTCCAAGGAGCTCAAGTTCAGCTCAGAGCGAGAGTCACTGAACTGTTTTGCTGAGAATCGATCCGGGAGCTGTGCTTCTCCCCTCACTTCCTGCCCGTANGGCACCCAGCTTACCATGGACCCACAGGGCCTCCTAGTGGCCAATGGTTTCATGGATCTGTGCCTTTCATCTAAAACAAGAATACAAATTCCCCACACTCCACACTTTCAACCCTACACACACACACACACACACACACACACACACACATCCGTCATCTGATGCCTTCCCAGCCTGCATGAATTAGGGTTGATCTTCAAGTCTAGTCTTAGCCTGTCCACGTAAAACACTGCATGACCAGACATTTCTACTAAGAAGAAACAATTGCTGCTCCACTACAATGACAGTGTTCTTGCCTGGAGAATCCCAGGAATGGGGTGGCACAAAGTCAGACACGACTGAAGTGACTTAGCAGTACAATGACAGTAGTTAGCTAAAATCGAGTAATACGGGCAGAAGAAATAAGCACTCTCATGATCCCAAATGAAGCCAGCCTGAACACCTGCATTCCAGACCTCCTTCTGATTAATCAGATCCATATATTTCCAGATTTCATATTTAAATTACCCATTACCAAAATCTAGCCAGTGCATTTTATTAAGAGGCTTTACGTGTA